GCATCTTAATAATAAGTTCGTAAACATAAATTTTAACTATAAGCCACTTTTCCCTCTATGCTAATGAATTTGGGAAAACCCTAGTTGGTGAATTAGATTACTCTATTGAAGTAGAATGCATCCAAGTACCTAGTATGTATCTTTTAATCTCAAATGTATCATATTGTTAGTGATTTACTTTAAAAATATACTTTTTATAATTAATTTCATGAAAAGAATACTCATGTAGCGAACTAAAAGCGTAAAAACGTAAAGCGTTTTGGTGAACTAGAACCGTAAAACCGTAAGTTTTTAAGTTTTAAAGCGCAATTTAGTCCGATTTTATACACTTAAGTTTTTATATGGAAACGAAAGCGTTTTGGTGACCCAAAAGCGTAAAATCGTAAGTTTTTAAGTTTTAAAGCGCGATTTTGACTGCATTGGTTACAGGTTCAGCAGATATTTCTACCTCGCTGCTTGATTCGCATAATACTCAATTATGGCATATGCGGCTAGGACATATGGGTGAAAAGCCAATGACAGTTCTAAGCAAGAGATGACTATTGGGGAACCAAAATTTTGGGAAACTTGACTTTTGTGAACATTGTATCTTCGGGAAGAAGAAAAAGGTCAGTTTCTCTCCTGCTTCCCATAGTTCCAATGGGGTGCTTGATTATATTCACTCGGATTTATGGGGACCCTCTAAATTTCCTTCCATAGGAGGTCGTAGATACATGATGACAATTATTGATGATTTCTCTCGTAAAGTTTGGGTTTATTTCTTACGGCACAAAAATGAAGCCTTCTCTGCATTTAAAAAGTGGAAAGTGCTAGTTGAAACTCAATCAGGAAGGAAAGTTAAGAAGCTTAGAACTGACAATGGATTGGAATTCTGTGAAAATGCATTTAATGAATTTTGTTCCTCACATGGAATCGGAAGACACAAAACTCTAGTTAAAACACCTCAGCAAAATGGTGTTGCCGAAAGACTTAACAGAACAATTCTCGAAAGGACTCGGTGTATGATGTCAAATGCAGGTTTATGGCATAGACGTGATTTATGGGCAGAAGCTGCAGCCACAGCTTGTTATTTAATCAACCGTTCTCTACATAAGTCGTTGGATTATAAAATTCCAGAAGAAATTTGGACAGGTAAACCAGTTGATTATTCCAAATTAAGAATATTTGGTTGCCCATCATATTATCACGTCAATGAGGGTAAGCTCTCTCCAAGAGCTAAAAGGTGTTTATTTCTGGGATATTCTATGGAGTCAAAAGGCTATCGTTTTTGGTGTGTTGAATCTCACAAGGTTATTCAAAGTAGAGATGTTACATTTAATGAAGATGCCTTATTTTCAGCCAAAGATGGTACTTCTTCGTCCCATGATGCAGAAAATTTTGAGACTCCAAGAGACAAGGTGGAGTTCGAACAACAAGTTGATTCACCTACCCATCTATCTTCTCTAGAGTTAAATCCTAGTGAAGTTCAAAATGAGGAAATGCCACCTCAAGTGCCACAAGATTATATCTTGGCTCGAGATCGGCCAATGAGAGTTATACAAAAACCTGCTCGATATAGAGATGATGAGCTTGTTGCGTATGCTCTCGCCGTTGCACAAGAAATTTCAGAAGAAATTGAGCCTTCTTCTTTCAAAGAAGCTATATCTTGTGTAGATTCATCTAAATGGCTTGCGGCAATGAATGAAGAAAACGAAAGTTTGTTGAAGAATAATACATGGGAATTATGTATGCTTCCTACGGGGAAGAAAGCACTTTCAAATAAGTGGATATACAAAAAGAAAGAAGGAATTCCCGGTATTGAAGAGGCAAGATGGAGGGCGCGGTTGGTTGTTCGCGGCTGCAACCAACTTGAAGGTATTGATTTCAATGAAATCTTTTCTCCTGTTGTGCGTCACACTTCCATAAGAATTTTTCTCTCTTTTGTTGCTCTCTTTGATTTGGAGTTAGAGCAACTTGATGTGAAAACTGCTTTCCTTCATGGTGATCTCGAGGAGGAGATATACATGAAGCAACCAGAAGGCTTTGTGATTCCAGGAAAGGAGCATATGGTTTGTCGCTTGAGAAAATCATTATATGGTCTCAAGCAAGCTCCTAGACAATGGTATAAGCGTTTTGATACTTTTATGATTGGAAATGGTTATACACGAAGTCAATTTGATAATTGTGTATACTTCCAAAAATTTCCCGAGGGCTCCTACATTTATCTACTTCTTTATGTTGATGACATGCTTATTGCTTCTAAGAACAGAATGTTGGTCGAAAGGTTAAAGTCACAACTAAAAGGAGAATTTGAGATGAAGGACCTTGGAGCAGCAAAGAGGATTTTAGGTATGGAGATCCAAAGAGATCGACAAGCTGGTAAATTATTTTTGAACCAAAGAAAGTACGTTGATAAGGTACTTGAAAGGTTCGGAATGATTGATTGTAAGCCCACTTCTACTCCTCTCGCTGCTCATTTCAAGTTATCTACTGCTTATTGTCCAACAACAAATGAAGAAGTGGATTATATGTCTAGCGTTCCATATTCGAGTGCAGTTGGCAGTTTGATGTATGCTATGGTCTGCACAAGACCCGATCTTGCATATGTAGTAAGTGTTGTCAGCAGGTATATGCAAAATCCAGGAAAAGAACATTGGAATGCTGTGAAGTGGATACTTCGGTATTTGAAGGGAACCCGTGATATGGGTCTATTGTTTGAGAGGAGTGAAAATCCTTCCAACAATATTATAGGCTTCACAGCAACTGATTTTGCAGGTGACTTAGATAAACGGAAGTCTATTTCTGGATATGTTTTCACTCTCTGCAATTCATGTGTTAGCTGAAAATCTTGCTTGCAACCCGTAACTGCTTTGTCAACTACAGAAGCATAGTATGTTGCTATATCTGAGGGGGTTAAAGAGGCTATTTGGTTACGTGGCCTAGTTATTGAGCTTGGAGGTGAACAAACTGTTTCAACCGTATTTTCGGATAGTCAAAGTGTCATTCACTTGACTAAAAATGACATGTATCATGCGAAGACAAAACATATAGAAGTCAAGTACCACTTTGTCCGAGATGTTATGGTTGCAGGTGATATTAGTGTGAAGAAAGTTCATACTGACAACAATCCTGCAGATATGCTCACTAAAGTTCTTCCTTCAACTAAGTTTGATCGTTGTTTGAACTTAGTTGGAATTCGAAGAGCTTGATTACCTCTCAGGGGTTTCTGGACAAGTCTTTCTAAATTTGATTCAAGGTGGAGATTGTTGGTATTGATGCCTCAAATTAATTCCAAGACTTGGAGTTATGGAAGACACTTGAGGTTACTTGGGGTTATGAAAATTAATGACCACATGGAGTTAATTATGTGGAGTTTCCATTTGGTTAATGGGAGTGTCGTTCACCTTTTCTTTGGCATCTCATAAGCCATTTTACATGGCTATAAATAGAGAGTCTATTGTTGTTGAATAGACACCAATTCCATCCAACTCCTTTATTCTCCAAAAGTGTAGAATATCTTCTTGAGTACTTTTCTTTTATGTTGGGAGTTTTCTACTTACTTCACAACTTTGTACGTTGAAGATTATTCTTTGATCATAGTGGATTTACTGGCTTGTCCAGCCCGTGGTTTTTCTCCCTCCTCTTTGGAGGGTTTTCCACGTAAAATTGGTGTCTTGTCTTTGTTCATTCTCTTCTCTATTTTCTTGTTCGATTTCATATTGGGTTTGCTTCCGCTAGTGCTCATTTATATCCAGGTTCAAAAGTCTATAAAAGACAACAGTTTGGGCCGCCTTTCTGCTTGGGTACAGGGGAAGTCTGGCCTTCCTTGTACTGGGTTTCTTTTGTTTGGCTTTTGTGCCCTTTTTTCTCTTTTCTTTTTCTCCCTGCAGGCGATCAATCTGGTTTGATCCCTCCCTGTACAGAACTCTTTTCCCATTTTCGGTTTATTAATGCATACCCTTATAAAAAAAAGAATTGTCCCAACTAGTCGAGAAAATCAAAGGGACATTGTTGTTATATTATATTGGTAGAGATAATGGGGAAACTTTAGATGGTTAAACCGGATCGAGGACGAGAAGCAGACAGGAAGAGTGGAAGAATACAGGTGGGGACTGGGGGATCAGTGAATAATCTATTTGGTCTTTGTCTTGGATGCATCTAATCTCTGTGTTGAGATTCGTCTGCATATACGTCGAGTTGATGCCACGACGTTGTAATCAAAGACCGATCGAACAAGACATAAAAAGAGTGCACCAAAATTCCCCGTCCTTATTCCCTTAGACTTGTTTCCTTCGATAAATAATGAAATTCAAAAGACGTGCTAAATTCTCTCAGTTTCACCATTAAAAAAGTGTAGCTTAGCTAGCTAATTAATTAAGCACGACAACAACAATACTTCCGCAGAATGAATGAGTGAATGTCTGCCTATCTTGTTTATTTTATTTATGCACAACTTTTTAAATATTATTCCCCTGCATCATATCCGTATATGCCAGCACTACTTTCACTAAATGTGTAACCACTAAAATAAACAACAGCTAGATCAAGTGTATAAAGTTATAAAGCGAACAGCTCGCTAGATAAATAATGGATTACAAATCATCAACGAATTTGTAAACGAACAAGTGAGCGGTTCAATCGTAACTTGTTCAACAATCTCGCGTGCACTATAAAAATCACTCAATTCAAATACGAGATTCTTCTTAGATGAATTTTCAGCATTAATGTACTACCACTACAACTTTAACGGTTGTAGTAAACCTGTAGAACATAATCACAATCAGACTAATCTTAATGAAAAAGAGTAATTACTTTTTGTTCATAAAACAAAATTGTAAAAAAAGAAATGAAAAGAATGACTGCGTGTTACAATGCCTACAAACAGGGAAGAGATTGATAGAAAGAGGAGAACTCGATCCCTTTGTACTTTGTACTTATTGACTAAACGTATAAATAGGGGGGGAAAGGCATTTTGGCCGCGTTTTATGGTGTCTGAACTCTGAATCTCATTGATCCTTCCGACCCGAAATCTTTGTTCTCTCCTCCCCTACCAAAAACCCTAAACCCGATTATATCAATAAATAAAGTAAAATAAAAAGAAAGAAAGTAAGAAAGAAAGAAAGAAGGGAATTCCGACTATTGCTCTAATTCTAATACCTTCCATGCAAGAAAGAACCTTAATGTGACACGATCTCTCTCCTCATCGTCCTCTCTCTCAAAACCTCTCTTTCCCCCTTTCCCTTCATCCTTTCCTTAATTCTTTCCGTTACCGCCTTGTTTCTCGCCTCTGATCAGCAAAACCCTTCTTCTAATTCTAATGGACGATAACCATCGTCGTCATAATGATCACCATAAAGATCACACCGCCGACGATCCCCAAAAGCCGCAGCCGCAGCCGCAGCCGCAGCTGTTCCCGTTTCTGTTACCGGCGGTTATAATTCGGAGGGAACTCGCCTACGCTTTTCTTTCCTTCTTTCTCCTCATCGGATCTTCTCTCTACGCCTTCGATCTCCTCGCCCCGCTCGACCCGGTCTCATACTTCCGGGTCGGGTTCTTGTCCCGGACCTTGCCGATCTGCCGGGACTACGGCGACGGCGACTGGGTCCGCGACGAGAGGAAGAACAACGTCGTCGGATCCTATGGCGAAGACTGCCCGTTTCTTGATCCCGGCTTCCGCTGTCGCTGGAACGGCAGGGCTGACGTGGACTATCTCAACTGGCGCTGGCAGCCACGTCGCTGTAACTTACCCAGGTACGCATGCTTACGTGTACACATGAAACTTACCTTGATCATTACGATCACGTAGCTACTAGCTAGAATCTGAAAATAGAAGAAATTGCTCTGTAGTTTCTGTTTTTGGATTGTCTACCAGCAAAGGGGTTTTTCCCTGTTTAGTAGTTGACGTGTCATTTTCCCGCCTCGTCGGCAATCCACACTATCGCTCTGTCAGCTTTTAACTTAATTGTAATAAAAGTATTTGATTCGGGAAACTCAGATTCAACGCGACGGACTTTCTGGAGAGGGCGAGGAACGGGAGGATAGTGTTCGCCGGAGACTCGATCGGCCGGAACCAGTGGGAGTCTTTCCTCTGCATGCTGGCACAGGGGGTCTCCAACACGTCCGCCGCCGCGATCTACGAGGTCAACGGGAAGCCAATCTCCAAGCACAGAGGCTTCCTCGTCATGCGGTTCAGCGAGTACAACCTCACCGTCGAGTACTACAGGCTGCCCTTCCTGGTGATCATCGGCCGGCCGCCTCGAGGGTCGCCGCCGGAGGTCAAGATGGCGATCAAGGTCGACCAGCTCCACTGGTTCTCCAAGAGATGGGTCGGCGCGGACGTGCTGGTTTTCAATGCTGGACATTGGTGGAACGAGTACAAAACCATCTACATGTACGAATTGGCTCCTTTTTAGTCGTACCGGGCAGCAGAGCACGAATTCTCCATGGAAATGACGTTTGTTTATTTGCTCTGTTTTATCTCCAGGGGTCACTATTTTGAAGAAAATGGAGTAATAAACAAGACGATGGGGGTTATGGAGGCGTTCCAGAGGTCGCTGCAGACGTGGAGGAAATGGGTGACTGAGAATTTGGATCCTGAGAAGAGTCATGTCTTCTTTCGCAGTTATTCCCCTGCTCATTACAGGCATGTTGACTCTCACAATACAGAACATCCCTGCCCTTTTTTTTTTTACCCCTTTCGCTGCTTGAATATGGATGACGAAACGCTGTCACTGTTGCAGGAATGGGACGTGGAAAGATGGAGGGCACTGCGATCTGGACCTGCAACCGGAGGCGAACTCGAAGCTTGTAGCTCCCGAGCCAGCAAACAATCGACCGATTTCTGAAGTGATTACAGAGATGAGACAGGGAAACTACAAGAGAGTTGAGTACTTGAACATTACACATCTGACAGAGTACAGGAGCGACGGGCACCCATCTCGCTACCGTGAGCCGGGGACCCCGCCGGACGCTCCTCAGGACTGCAGCCACTGGTGCCTGCCAGGAATCCCAGATGTGTGGAATGAGATTCTGTATGCTCATTTGCTGTCGATGGGATTCAGAACCAACAGATGATGAGGCAAAACTTTCTTTTTACACTCCCCGGAACGGATGTACATAAGATGAGGGGACTTGTTTGGTTTTAAGGATTAGGATGAGGGCTCGACGCTTTCCTGGGGGTCGACTTCAGAGGCTTCTGTTTGCTTCACTTTTTCGAGCTGTCTCAAGAGATAGAGCCTCTCTGGTCCGTATGTCGAAGGTATCTGCCAGACAGAAGGGGAGAAAAAAGAACATAAACAGTTGGAACTTGAACATAGGAGATTTTGTCATAGTATATAAGAAACTTGAATAGGAGGGTGTACAGTGTCGAGAATCACTTACCATACCCGGTGCATATCGCTGAATAGCAGCTAGAATTGCTGCATGGCCAACTGCAGTAACCTGTTGATTCAGGAAATGAAAGATGAGAGAATAACATCTGGGGAAAATGGCAAATTTGGATTCTACACCCAACTCAGGTTACAGCTTCTACGGCTAGAAAAGCATATTTTGGTTAATTCTGACGAAGTATTATTGTCTAATAAAACCTAGCAGTAAAACTAGATAGTGCATCAGAGATTGCCTTGGAAGCCCAGCTATTAATCTAGCGAAAGATGAAAGTCAACGGAAGGCATGATCAACACCGCAAGTAGTATTGAGATAATTAGATGTGTAAAACTTACAGGAAGAAGCATGAGAACACCAATAGGAACCACAGATGCCACATCGGTCACAGTTCTTTGAAGAGCACGTTTCTCTTTCTCTGTTAGCTCGTCTCCAATCAAGGACCTTCTAAGCAGTCCCATCGCTGCGCCAACATCAATGGCTAGGAGCTGTGTTCCTTGCAAGACATCCTATTCACAGTTTTTCAACCAAATTAGCAACTGATTACACACAGCATCAAGAGTATTGAGTTATTGAATAGAAAGTAATGGAACAATCCACTAAGAGTGCCAAGAGTCTATTACTTCGTAAGAAAGTTTTGATGATTTTTTGTTGATAAGAGTGGATGACTGCCATTTGGTTTGATAAATTCCGTGGAAAAACTAAAATTGCAAGGAAAGCAAAAATGACGGAACAGGTTTGTAAAAGAAACAATTCCAAAATAGTCGACTTGATGGCATGTTCAGTAGCCATCCAGAAGATCTGGATTGTCAAACGCTGATTTTCCTTGAAAATACTACTATGGCTTTATCTTCAGAAAAAAGAATTCTCAGGTGTAAGCACAGGAAGTTAAGCGACAGACAGACCCTGAAAGAGTGAGATGCTTATGCTTGGATGAAACATGTTCTACTTGCTCCAAAAATCACAATCCACATTGAAACTAGATATGCATAGTATACCAATGATAAAGAACCACCCCAACCATACCATGCTAGTTTCTTTCAGTTTTTCTACCGAGCTTGCAATAATATCTTCCTTCTTCTTAGCTGGGAAGAACACAGAAACTGAAGTCCTATCACCTGTGCTTTCAACGTCCTGAAAGGATACATTTTCGGTTACTTAGATGATGGACACCAGAATGGCTAAAGAAAATAATTAGGCGAAGCATAGACAAAGACTACTCTAGTACAAAAACCTGACTCCCACTTGTAAAATGGACGTTGCAAGTGTTGCAGCGTACAACACTTGGAAAGGATGATAAATACCTCTTCATTTTCATACTGATCTGTACTTCTTTTTACCCGCTTTTCTAGTTCCACCAACTCATTCCTTATCAGTTCAAAACGTTGAATTTTGATAGACTCTGACTTTGCAACCCCCAAACTTGATAATTCAGAGTCAGGCTTCTTGGTTGGAAAATCTATGAAGCTTCGCAGTCCTTGAAGTTCCCTGCAATTCAAAGAATAGTATAACAAGATAAGATATCCCAGAGGCTACCAGTGTAAATAAATTGAACATGAAGACAAGCATATGAAACTTAATAGAAAGGATCCAACACTTAAAATGAGGCTACCTGTCACTGGGCTCTATGCTTCCTTCCAAATACTGTTGCTGCTCACGACCAGAAGACTGCGGATTGTTATCCTCATCTCCCTTCACATAAATTAGTATCAGTCAAATAACTCCCCATCTAAATGAAAGGAATAGGTGCCTATGTGCAAGCTTTCCACCTAAGAGAGCATAAAGGTTGAGGAGAAAAACAATACAGACTTCTGATTATAGTGTGGCATTACCTGATCTAAAGATTCTGCTTTAACTCTGAATGATACCTCAAGAAATTCAGCCTCTTTCTTGAGTTTCCTTATTTTTTCAAGATCAGAACAAGCTGCTTTCAACTGCTCCTTTCCCCGACTAGAACTTGAAACCTGGAACTCTTGCAGCAAATTCTCCAATCTTATGAGAGCTTCTTCGACTCCTTCCAATGCCTAACATAAAAATATTTGCATAAGCATAAATGAGATGCATAACACAGATTCCAATCATAAAGTCAGTTTTGATAATTTTGCCCATATAACTTAATGCATTAATCGCCTCGGAATGCATAAATAAACCTTTATTGAATTAGCCACATAATGGTCTCTTCCCAAACTAGAGATCTAAGTTAGTCTTTTACCTTTTTACCAGGTTGCTTTGCCAAGTTTACTGCCTGCAGGGCAGATCCCAAAATAACATCTTGAGTTTAAACCTTTCATCAAGCTGTGATGGCACTCAACTTAATATGACAAGTGCATAGATTTAGGTCCATCAGTTCATTGAATCCACCACTACCAATATCCTTTCACGTTATAGTGGACATTATACATCACTGATGAAAATACAGCAACAGTGACGCAAAAGGAATAAGAGAGAGGAGAGATATTCATACTAATATTAATTAATAATTATAATACGGGAGAGATTCACAGACTATGAGAGCAAAGTGAGACACAATCCACGCATTTCAACATGTGGTATGGCTATCGATTTCTGAAACATGTAACTGGCAAGTAGCACAGAGGACAAACCTTTTCAAAAGAATCTTTCTCCTGCTTAGTTGGTAAGTAAGTACTAGATCCGGCTCTCTCAATAAAGAAGTTGCTATCGTTCTCTACAACATTCCTACATAACCACAAAACAATTCACAAATGAGCAAGGAGCACTTCTTAACATAAATGAACACTGACAAAAAAAAAACTACTAAATTATCTTCCATAACTAGAAACCACAGTAATGGTGAAGGGGAGAAGGAAAAGGTACTAAATCAACAATCTGAATAGAACTGTAAGGAAGCCTTGGTATCCAATTACTTTTGTGGATTCTACCCCTTACCTAGTTCTAATAAATTGAAGAATTTCACAGGTTGATACAAACTTCTAGCACAAAATATGCATTACTGTCCTCTGGTTATCCACTTAATTATGGGTGTTAAGTAAAGGAGGTTGAAGAATCCACTAGCTTACCTTGATATCCCCAGTTCATCCACACATTCCATCAGTTTCTTGTGCCTGATAAAAGAAGAATTAAGGTAGTTGCTACAAATAAAGTTTGATGACTTCCTTACATGACATCCAATACAGCAGTAAGCGTAATTACCCCTTAGATAGGAACCTCGCCGCCTTGACATTAGAAGGATTCTCCACCCATTTACTATATTTTATAAAGCTTTGCATCCAATGAGAGCAGACGTCAAGTACTTGAGGAATGGCCTCGGCATTTGGAGGATTTTCTTGTTTTCCATGACCATACGACTGTTTTAAGGTGTTGGTGTGTCCTGGATAAAATTGAAGCCAGTCTAGCTCCTCACAAACGACCTATCAATTGAAAATGCACAAGGAGAAACAAACCTAGATGTAAAAATCAAAGCAATACATCTGTACCACCAGTTATCATGCTAAATAATCATCACATAGGTTGCTTACTTCCACATACAACTGATAAGAGCTTATTGATGAAAGTTGAGGATAATATAATACGCTGCCACTGATTAGATACCTGCAATGCATCACAGTAAGGAACTGAATAAAAACAGAACCATTCCAAGCAGGTAGAGCACGGTAGGCACATAAAATGCTACCTCAGGAAACCATCAATAGGCTCGTTAACTACGTCAAATCCATTTGCAGATAAGAAGGACTGTGTGCTTCTTCCCAAGGCAATAAAAAATCCAATTACAGCCAAATCCTTGTCCAGAACCTGCAGCAAATCAGCAATAAACATTAATAGCAATTTCCATGCAACTACAGCTCTATGTCCCCTCTTTACCATCATGTCCGTCTCAACACACTTCCAAAGCTTTTACATGCAACTGTGCACCTTGACAATGCAAAGCAGGGAGTAATGAAAAGTGCAGTTAAAAGCTTGAGTTATGATGGAAACCATAAAAGGTATCAAAGAGACGGGAACTCCCAGCAAACACCTTATTATGCGGCTCAATGTCCAGGAGAAGTGTACTACCGAGTTCCTTACCCTCCAACAACATCCAAAAGTTTTATTCTCTTTTTCTGTTCTTAATTCCAGAGTGCATTCTTCTAGTTCTTGAATGGAGGTCTAATAAACTTATGCCTTAACTGGCTGAATAGTTTGCCAGATTTCACACGCAAAAAAATTGATAACACTGTCATAAAATGATATCAAAAGTGTATTCCAAGATCAGAGAATCTTCTATTAAAATCCCTCGGATATCCATTCAGCCTTATGCATGGTCCTCTCAGCTAAATAAGAGGGGGTGTTTTCATTCATCAACTTAATTCTCGATCTCACTGACCATAATTTACATAATCGCACCCACCTAAATAAGCTTACATCAAGCATCAACTTCCTATAACCCAAGTCTCCCCCATTCAGAAAATGCAGGCAACTAACCTCGATACTTTCAGATGTTGTCAGTCTTGACCATATTTTCTCCCTATCTATAGCACGTTGGAGCTGCTTCTGCACTAGATTAACCCAGAAAGCAACTTCTTCCGCGCCAAGATCATCCTGCACCCTGCATGCTGCTGCCCGAGGTCCAAAATGGACAAGAAATTCTCTGCGTAGACCTATATCCTTGATTGCACGATAAGCCTGACGTATTGGAATCAAATCAACCAGCATGTCCATCATTTTGCCAGTAATATCTACTGGAAATAATTGGGGGCAAGAAATTTTTGCGGGGCCAAGTTTTGTGATTGCAGCAATACAAGTCAATGCAAGTAAGAGGATTGAAGTATCAGTTCCACCGTCAGAGCCCAAGTACATGCCTCTCCCAGACCTGAAAATAGTAACAAATTAGTTCGATTGCAAAAAGTAAAATGGACAACAGTAATTATTCAGACAACAGGAAAACGTGGATAGAGGTAGCTGCATACACTGCTGTGGCAACAGTAAAACGTGGGGCACCATCAAAGTAATTGACAAAGGATGTCACAACCAATGGAATTTGTTCAGCCCAAAACCATTCACTAGGTTCAAGTTGCTTTGCAGATAGTTTTTCCCTGATTAGGCTCTCCAATGAAGCAGATACCCTTAATAAGCTGCATCAACAATGACAACTAGTATTAGATGCTCAAAGAAGAAGAAGAAATGAAGTTCGGGAAGTCCACTGAATGGCAGGTAAAGGGAGGAAATATGGAAAGAAGAAAAGAAAGAGGAAAACCACCAAACACTTGTAAGTACTGAAAAAGGAGAAGCTGGTACGGATTTTCACTGGGGAAATAATAGCTCAAATAAAGTTCAGATATAATTTCTGCAGGAAAAATAGCATAATCTAATCAATAAAATCAACAATAACACACTCCAGATTTGAAGCTCAACTAATCATCATAAGCTTCTGGAAACTACCAATTATCATCTGCTAAATTATTCAAGGAAATTCCATGGTGGGGCTCAATTCGGTGGTTGTTACAGAACATGCGTACTTTACACATAGAATAGTGCATGGTTGGTATGTACTTACTACATCTCCCATCCAAAATCAAAGTGGAAAGGGGTAGTCAATCCCTGAGAGAATATGGACTAACTAATCCGAAATTCCAACCTTGAATGTGAACCAGGTGAAGAAGGATAAGTTATATATGGTCACTGTCACCCCATACCTTCTCTGAACAAAAATGTTTACATCCTTGTCTCCGCCACTCCGCCGCGATGAAATCTCACAAGCTGCTTGCAATAAGGAATAGACAGAAGCCTGATAAATTCATTTCTACATTAGATAGTCTAACTGACTTCAGTCTGAAGTACTTAAGAAGACAGAAGTACATAAGTTGTAAAGCATTCCCATCAGATTTCTGCATGTTATAAGCTATTTTTACTAAGAAAGATCACAAACCTGATAAGACAACGTTTTCAGCCACGCGTTACCATCTCCACCAAGCCAGGCTGTTGAGAACCAGGAAAATTTGGATACAAGGCCTCGCTCTTTAATTGCCAATTCAAAAACCCTGGCTGCATCATGCAAAGACTGAACCAGTGTATCACCTTGATCTTCCCCTTGAAGTGACTGATTGAGTTTCATTCTAATTTCCTCCACATCCCCACTGGTGCTTGGTGTGGGGCTCCCGTTAACCGTTACACTGTCATCAGCAGATCCACATGGCAATAAGCAGCCCAACCTTCTCCTTCGATAGAAGTCGAAATTCTGTTTTCTAGACCCTACCAATTGGTAACAAGAACTATAACTACCATTTCCAAGAAAAGCGAGTCGCTTAAGGCTCCTTCTCCTTGCTCTACTACAATGCATTAGGTAACCAAACTGAACCACTCTTTTAGCAAAAGCTTTTGCTTGAATTGTGTTTCGAGAAAAGGAAGGACTTGAAGAGCTGCACACGAAAACATTTGAATACAACCTCAGCATACCACAGTAAATCTTTACAACGACCAGCGTAAACAAAACGCCAGGTACGAGCAACTCCAGTATGGATTCTCGCCAACATTCCAATGCCAGTTATTTCTAAGCTTGAGTTGCCATTAGAAACACATAGAACCAACTTAATCCAGCTGCACTTCCACGGTCTCGCCAATAAAAGCGAAATAACAAGCAGAAAAACCCTAACGAAAACCTCACAAACAGATGTAAGTGGACAAATTGCACTGGCACCACAAATTCGATTGAAATTTGAAACACTGGAATTCATTATTCTCAATCAAAGCGGAAAAACACACACATACACACTTCAATGCCCAGCTTCGCGCCATTGTGAACAAATTAAAACGAATTCGCAACCGATTTTTGTTCTTGTTTCGAACTGTGCTTCCTTTTATTCGGGGCAATTCAAAAGTAACCTGTGGATGCTCTCTTCCACTAACGCAGCATGCAAGTAACAAGTTGAAATGAAAACAGAAACGAATATAATAATACAAGAACCTCCACTCAGATTCAAAAACCCTAGCGACTCCATGAAGACTAGGCTAATCCAAATGAGAACAGGAGAAGTTCACAACATTGAAGGACAGCAACCGAAGAAATAACTATACGAGCACTTTACGGGGATGATGATAAAGCACCTTGAAGATACGAAGGCATGGCGATGGAAACGTACTTCCATGGAAACGGAAGCGAGAGAATCGGCGGGGAAATTCAGCGATTTGGTTGCGGAGGGGAAACAGAATTGGGGTTGAGAGGTTCGGAAAGGCGGAGGAGGGAAGGGAAAAATGTGCAGATAGAAAAGATGACTGTGTCTGTGTGTGGGCGTGCTGCTATTTTGTTTTCCGTTCGGATTTGTTTGGGTGTAAGAAAAAGGGGAAATGGAAAAAGGAAAAAAAAGAGGTGGCGGGACTTTTATCCAAAGACGTGGAGAAGGAATGAACGCAAAAGGAAAATGATTCTCGGGCTCCGCGCTTCTTTTCCTCTTCGCTAGGCCGCTGGATCGGCTGCGGTCGACATGGAGGCTATATGATTTGAACTACGTGGAGTTCTGATACCCACTTAAAGTAAATGGACAGCAGCATGAGCATCTACAACCAAGAACCATCTGAATTTCTTAAACGACGGCGGTTAATTTCAATTCTAAAATTCAGACTGATGTTTAGGTAATAACATTCTCAGGAGTCAGGAGAAGTTTGCTTCATAGTTTTGGTGATGGTTGTGAGTTCCGAATCCTATTTATTCTGTGGCGGATACAGAAATTATATTAAAGGTATTCAACGATAAAACAAATCAACAAGAATTGTCAAACAGTCTTGAGTTCATATACTACCATCACAAAAATAAAATTTTAAAATTTTGTCAAAAAGTGGAAACAAGGACAAGTCTTGGGCTAACCTAGGTCTGCCAATGTATTCATTATGGACTTGTTTCAAAATTTATTTGTTTGTCACCCAATTTTAGAGGAGTAAGATTCATGGGGTTTATAGACTTCAAGATTCAAAGACATAGATTCATGGACTTGCAAATTTCATGGTTAGATGTGTAATTTGAGTGAATGTTTGCCTCATGGATTTGGAGGCATGATGGTTTTGGAAAATTTTGAATTTGTGATGGATTTGGTAAATTGTGGATTTCAAAAGTTTAAGTTTGTCTGATGAACTTTGTTTATGGATTTGTTGTTATGATTTTGTAGCTTTTATTATAGGGTAAATACAATTTAATAGCCAAACATTTTCTTTTAAACAAAATAGTAACCAAACTTTTTCAAAAGAAAAACTTAATAGCCAAATCGTTAACTTTCCGTCCGGTCAACTGTTAGTTGACTCTAACGTGGCAAATCTACTGTTGAGTTGGATATTTTTTAGAAGTTTGACCTCGTGAACTAATGGGGAGCGATCGCCAGAAGCCTCTGCTCTCAGTCTCACCGTTCTTCGACAGAACCATCCTCAAGTCACATAATAATACCCAAATCGACCACGTCTATTAGGAATTCCTCGAAGTGGAACTCAAATTCAAATACCCAAAAGAAGAAGATCTCATGGTCTACAAGTCCTTCTCGTTGACCTTCGAACAACTGGAAACCCTAAAATCCAAATCGGCGGCAAGAGGCGGCGAGAACCCACTGGCGGAGAAGAAACACTCCACATTCGAAGCGCTTTGAGGGTTCGTCAAGAGGGTGCGAACCCAATCCCTGAGCTTCCCATCCAATCAGTGGTGGGAGTAGTCAAAATCCCTACCTTATTCTCGGCCATCGTCAGAATCCCTACTTTATTCATCGAATTCAACTGCAAAGATTCCCAAATCAAACCATTATTATAAACCAGAGACCAAACTAGCGGCAATAGAGCACAAGCCAACCAATTCGGGGACAAAACCCCTAGATTTCAACTGACGGAAACTAACCTCGAGAATGAAATCGTGTTGTCGAACTCGATCTGCGAGGCAGGGGAACTGGTGAACCAGTCATTACGCACGCGGGGGGTTTTGTTCACGAGTCGATAAGGATGGTGGAAGATGGCTACATGAGGTCGGCGATCGATTACTTTGAGGAGAAGTGGGCGAGGCCTTCCATGGCGGCAACTCTTGTGATCACGATGTGGTCGAGGATGGCGTTCGACGAGGAAAATTTTGGGTGGGGCGGGCCACTTTTCTCCGCCCGGTTGGGCTTCCCAGGAACGAAGTAGTTCTGTTTCGGTCGAGTAATGGTGGCAGGGAAGAAGGGAGGAGGAAGGGAGTGCGTGTGGTTCTCAGGCTGTCGGCGATGAAGATGTTTGACAAGTTGGTCACGGAGTATGACTGGTGTTAGCCACGTGAATTATTGATTCTCAGCCACGTCAGCAAATTGGCCATGTTAGAGTCAACTAACAGTCAACCGGACGAAAAGTTAACGGTTTGGCTAATAAATTGTTTTTTAAAAGGTTTGGTTATTATTTTGTTTAAAACGAAAGGTTTGGCTAATTAATTGCATTTGCCCTTTATTATATGTAAATTACCTTACTATCTTTATTTATTTTATATTTTTTTAGAGTTGAGACAGAAGGATATATATAAGTAATTATTATCATGACCCCACGAATTTGTGACCATGTTCCAAATCTTACACCCATATTTGAGATTTGTAAGTCAATGGAGTCCACGGATTTGGATCCTCAAATTTCACGGATCCCACGAATTTGGTCATTCCACCAATACATGAAACAAACAATGAATTTATGCTAAATTGTTGATGAATATGGATTTGGACCCAAATTTGTGCCTCAAATGCATGAAGCAAACTACCCATAAAAATACATCACAACAACAAAATGCAATGAGGTAAATTTCATAGCAAAATTCAATAAGCAAACAATAGACTTTGTAATGACAACAAATCCATCATAAATCTAGGATTTTTTAAAACTCGGATTTTAGCAAAAAACTCTCATTTTTCAAGTTCATGAAGCAAACGACCCCTTAATTTATTTTCAAATGAAGCACCTAATCTTTGAAGGGAGAGACTAAGCAAACCACCCCCCATGACTTCTTGTTTAAGGAGGTTGAGTTGTAGGTTGGAGATTTTTTCGTGTTGGAAACTCTTACGGCGTTCATTTGATTGCATTTCTGATTTATGGAAATCAAGATGATGTTACTGTGGTTCATACACCTTCAAACAATGTCCGAAAGAAGGTGTTTGGTGTTTAGGAAATCGAAGTTAATTTATGACTACTCCTATGATAATTTCTTGATAGCTCCGTGATTATGACTACGACTACACTTGTGGAGAATCCTTCATGAAAAAAGAGCTCCACAACTATGAGTTATGAAGATTTTTTTAAACAAGCTGGTTTGTGATTTTGTGTTGAACCCCCTCAACTATTTTCAAATCTCACATTTATTTTATTCTTCCAAACCAATCCCTCTTCCACCCACCTTCTACACCAAAACGAAAACTCGTCTTCATAACCACCTTCACTGCCACCTTCCTCCCTCACCTCTACTCCTCACCCCATTCCCATTCGCCGGCGAGTCAAAATCATCATTCCCTTTACCGAAATCCATCCAGATGCAGACAAAAGGAATCGTACCTATGAAGTATAGAGAGTTGGACCGCCAAGCCAAATGCAGATACCACTATAAATGATGCGAAATTTTCGACGACCTCATCACCACGTCACTGCAGATAGCCTCCTGGTTAGATCCCTTCATAGGTGAATACGGATTTGGAAATGGAGCACTAGCGAATAAGAGGTGAGGCGGGTAACAATCTTATCGATTGCCCCTGGCCTAATAAGAATGATTATCCTTTTGACCAAACAAGGACCGATTGACTTACTTATCGTTTTGATGCGAAAATCACGATCTCGATCAGTGCTCAATCCCCACGTCTACAATCTCCAATTCGACACCAGTGCCATGGAGGAGATTCTGAGAGGAGAAGATGAAGGTGGTGAGACTGTTGACGAAAAGCTCAGGCTCCTATTCCAACCTTTTTCGTCTATGTAGCAACAATTGGGAAGATTTTACGATAGGTGGAGCAAATTTTTTTTTGTCTCTACCGCCAAGCAGGAAAACCTCCTGATCACTACTTCTTTTTCTTGTCCTGAGATCCACAAAACAACACATCTGCCACTGACCCTCCTCTTTCCCTCAACCCTCAATCCCAGACGGTTTCGTTTCCGGGTTATAGGTTCGTGAAGGAAGCGTATGAGGAGTCATTTTCTACTTCGCCATGCTCCTCTATTAGGGGGTCGTTTGCTTGTTGAATTTGAACATGAGGGTTTGGTTTGAATTTGGATTTTGAAAATCTTTGGATCTGTTGCATTATGGATTTGGAATAGTCCATTGTTTGCTTAGTTAATTTTATCATGGATTTTATATCTTTGAGATGTATATTACATTACTACCCTTCTTCCTATTAGAATTGAACTTTGCTTGTGTTTCTAGTTTTAAGATTGACATTTTATAACAAGCTCATAAAATTAGTAGCCACAAGATATTAAAATGTGTAGCTAATCACAATATATAGTTATAATCTTACTATTCGTAGCTAAAATTTGTTGGTGAGAATCATTGTTGTAACAACAAATGTGGTTTGTAGCTAAAAATAATGTAGCTACAAATGTGTGTAGCTAAAGGGTATTACTTACCTTCCAATTCAAAATTTGAAGCAAAATAGTAATTATAGCTAAATAAATTTGTGACAACGACCTTCTTAAGTAGCCACGAGGAATATATTATGTAGTCATTAGCTTAGCTACAATATTATTTTTCATGGCTAGAGTTTGTAGCTTTAAGAGATAATTGTAGTAGTGCAAAGAATAACTAATAAGGGGTAAAGGAGGAATATATAAGTAATTTTTCTTGAAGGATTTGTTCCCTTCTTCAAATCCAAAGTAAATAGGTGGGATTTACAAATTCATGGGATTCACAGATTTGGAGCCAAAACAATCTCTAAATCTGTCGACCCCATGAATTTGGTACCCTCCAACTTTGCCCAACAAACAATAAGTTTTGGACAAATCTTTCATGTGTTGGATTTAAGAGCCAAATCCCACATCAAATCCATGAAGCAAAGGACCCTAGATTCCCGACAACAGTTTCCTTTCGCTTGGTCATCGATGGTATTTGGATTCTAGGTCGAATTGGCATGGAATACAATGAGGAAGACAATTTCATCCATCTTCCAAATCGACCCAATTGATGTCCAAAATCCAATGTTGTCATAACCGAGTCGGAGCATGACCCGTTAACATGAACGACTCGCACTTTAGTGGTCCAACCGGTATTTGACTGTTAAAAACCGTTAGAGAATCGGTAATAATAATATCATAACTAGAAGACACATAAGGTAGAAATTTAATAATTTAATAACTAAAATAAAATTTACTTTTCAGGTAGCACTTAGTAATTTTACCATTTATATATATAAACTAAATAAATAAGAGAACAAATCCTAACCCCACTTCCACTCATCCCAGCGGCAGCGCCGCTCTCCCCTTTCTCTTTCTTCAATTTCTTTTATCTCTCTCTCGTCTCTTAAATTCTCAAACGGCCAAATCAATGAAGAGCTGGCCAAAATGATGAGTGGGGAGCGGCTACGGGACATTAAAAACTCATGTACATTACCAAACATGTAATTTTTTCCCCCCCCGAAAAGATAGCTTGCATTAAACAAGAACACAAAGTTACAAGGACTGTGACCTAAGTCACCCACAAAAATCAAACCCATTACAACCCGTAGGAAACAAAGACAGGGCCTTCTTAGCCACCATATGGGCTACCCTATTGTTCTGTCTACCCACAAATTGCACCCTAAATCCTGGGGACATCAAAAGAAGATGACGAATTTCCTCAAACAAAGCACCACCAGCAGCATCACGAACATCCCCAGCGTTAACCTTGTCGATCACAATCTTGGCATCCCCCTCAATCGTAACAGCCTCCAGGCCACGATGTTGACACCACCTAATCGCATCCCGCAACGTTGATAGTTCAACAAGCGATCAGATTCTGAAGACCGGTAAACATCAGCCCTTGTGCCGCAAACACCGCTCCCCCTGCCTCTCTTAAGACCACCCCACCTGCTGCATGGGACCCGTCACGGACTGCCCCATCAAAGGAACATACCACACCGCCAACAGAACCAGCAGCCACCGCAGGATGATCAGCACCAAGGCCTCCGAAGGCTCACCCTCACCATTCCCATCCCCTTAGGGAAGTTGCTCCCATTCCGACACTTGATGTAGAAACTCCTGTCGGAGAATACTTGGGAGAGTCTGCTGTCCCTCAAAGGCCACATAGTTCCTCCCCTTCCATATCCTCCACAGTAAACACATCAAACGCACAACACGCATAGGTGACCCATCTCTCTCCAAAAATCGCCTAAAAATATGTTAAAACATCCCACCGGCAAAACCTCTAGCTCAGCAGCAAGTCCTGCGGCTTCCCACAATCCTCGCGCAACCGGACAATGCAAAAAGAGATGTTCGGTGGACTCCTCCGGCGCCCAGCACACTGGACACCTCGCAAGGACCTGCACCTTTTTCTCACGCAATGCCTCCATCGTTGGTAAGATCCGTCTCAAGAGCTCCCACGCAAAAAACTTGAGCTTCGGCTGCACAGGCATACCCCAAACCTAAATCCATAGCGTTCGATCCAGTGTGCTACATTCCACTTTACCTCCCCACCCACGACAGGACTTGCGCTCTGCTAACCTGTACCCGGACTTCACCGTATAAACCCCCGAAGGGTCCTCCCTCCAAATCAATCTGTCCGGCATTGCCATCCGCGGTAACGGGATTTCAAGAATGCCTCGAATCGTCTCTTGATCAAATGCCGAATTCAAACAATCCATACACCAGTTTCCTGATTCCGGATCGATCAGCTCCGACACCATCTCATTACCTGTCAAAGACGCCCCCAACTGCAAACTAGGTTTTGAAGGATGGATTAAAGGAATCCAACCTTCTGACATTACTGGTATGGTCTCCCCCGATCCAATGTGCCAAGTCATCCCCTGTCGTAACAATTGACAGCCAAACAACACCCCCTACCATCCCCAGGATGGGCGGGATCGCGGAGTAGCAGTGAAAATCGAGCCCGTTGGAAAATATTTAGCTTTATAAATCTGGGCTAGCAGGGATTGTGGCTCTGAATGGATGCGCCATGCCACTTTCGCCAGAAGAGCCTGGTTAAAGAGCTCAAA